TGCCTTCTGTCATTCCCCCCCTGATGATGTCACCATCAGTATTTTGTGCACGTGTAATAGTGACATGTGGTGTGTGTTTACCTGTTTCAGTATAATTGAGTGAATTTATCAACATGATGTTGAAATTCAATTCGATTTATCTAAATAGTTTTTTCTTCTTTTCAATTCTTATCATGATGATAAAAAGTGGAAGGAAGAACTTGATAAAGGCCAGAGAAGGAAAGTAAAGATGGCTTACTTTCATCTTTCAATAAGGACATCACTAGACGATACCAGTTTATAGTTTTTCTAATCTTGATGTAAAAGATAATAAGTTATTCATCATGAACTGAGAGAGGCGTTGAAAAGGTGAAAGTGTTGGGAGCTGAACTGCTTCCTCCTGATTATTAGAACACCTCAACCAGTACGTACATATGATCCCACTCCATATCTTGTAGTGCGTGAGTTAATACATCCAATGGAGTACAGTTTCCTACACGCCTATCTAGATTCATAACACATTCCAACTATCATCTAACATCTTCAACTTAGTGTTTATCTGTTTATCACTCACTCACTCACTCACTCACTCACTCACTCACTCACTCACTCACTCACTCACTCACTCACTCACTCACTCACTCACTCACTCACTCACTCACTCACTCTCCTTGTCTAATTCAATTCAACACTTCACAATAGTCTACAAAAAAACATGTGAGTAGTGAGGAAAGCATAAACAATTTGAAGATAATGCGGTTAGCTCAAGTTTTACAAGTGATTACATCTACGCTATTCTGATTGGTTGATAGTCAGCCATATCATCAAGTGTTAGTCCTTAATCACTGATTCCTGTTATGTCAAGGATACCAACAAGTTAGGCAGTCTATATCTGTCTACATGTCTCAGAGAAACAGTTTGCGACTTCATCAATATTGGTACATTGAACTGACAGAATCATCTGAAAGTGGAATGAAAACAGCTGATGTTGAAAACTGAGAGACAGAGACCGAGTGAGGTAATCAAGCAAAAGATAAGATTGATTTGCTAATGAGTATACTTTCATACATCAAGTATGATAGTTCAGTTTTAAACAACTGAATGCTGCAAGAACATAAGATTAGGAGACATTTGAATATAGTTCCCTTATAATGAATGCTACAGTCATAAACACATTCATCAACTAGAATCTTAGCAACACACTTGCTTCAAATCTACTTAACATACTAACCAAGTAAAGAAGTCATATCAGTCAGTGAAAGTTGAGTTGTGAGTCTTGCTGAGGTGCAAGCCAGTCATCCAGGAATCTCACTGTGAAGTTGCCTGCAATTCGAAATATTTACACAGTGTGTGTGTGCGTGTGAGTGTGTGGAACCACACTACATCAGTTGAATAAATCTGTCTCCCTTTCTTCCAAGTTGACTCAGTAGTATGAGGCTACATTTAGATTGATAGATAAGACTTGTGTGCAAGTCGAGTGTTGAATTCAGTTCCTGCATGGGATCCTTGATGACATTCATAGTATGATGATAACTTTACTCACTTCACCAGTGAGTGACAAAAGTCAGAATCACTAACGAGACATCAGCTTCAGCATAGTTGCAGACACATGCTCCTGATGAAAACTGAACAAGTAGGAAAGTTAATGTTATCCGATAATGATAGTTATACACGTCTATTATTGATAAAATATCACCCACTTCGTTAATTTGAAACACTAATACAATTGATATTAGAGGATGATTGAAGGGGAAATAAAAATTTCGACCTCAACAGGATTCGAACAAGCGACGTGGTACTCTACCAACACACGGTTCTCATACCTGAGATGAGCTGACCGAAGATTGGGCAGAAGGTGGTTGGAATTCGCTGCCGTGGCAGCTCAGTATTAACCATTCTAGTCTGAGCAGCTACATGACGACACTACATGTCAAGTGATTCACAATGGAGGGCTCAGTGATGCATTCAAGGTGAAGTGAACACAGGAAGGACTAAGACAAGGTTGCCACAGATCATCTTCCTCATTGTGTTCGACTGCACTGAAGTGAACTCGATCATGCAAGGAACTGTGAGGAGCGAGAAGATGGTCACACACTCCCTGTTTGAGAGATGAGAGGACCGTAGAAGATTTGTATTTCGTCGGTGATGATTTATGTCTAATGTGTGGTGTCGCACAAAGTCGAAGATGTAGAGTCGAGAACTGACAAGTTGGAAGGAGAGGGGAGGAGAGGTGAGGTGAGGCAGTGAAGTCACGACTTCCTTCAGGTGAAGGTGGAGGCTATGAAGATACCGAACCAACAACAACAAGCAGTAATCACTATGAATGAGAGAAATCTAAATTAAGTTGTCTCTTTCACCCGCCTACCTACCTACCTACCTACCAACCTAGGTGGATGAGGACGTCGAGGGTAGCATCGGAAAAGCAAGGTGAAGTAGGCCTTGATTAAACTGAAATCAATGTGGAGGGAGATCTACTTCCCTCCACTCTACTCAGCATAAACAACAAGATTGAGATTTTCAACACTAATCCAGTCACATCAGTGCTTGCTTGTATACGGTTGAGAGACTTGGCGCGTTACGAAAAGCATTTTCTACAAACTACTGACATTCATCAACAGCTGGTGACTACGCTCACTCGATACTGAATGTCAAATGAGGTAGCGAGAAAAGATGAACTCTTGCCTGGCAGACAACCAACCAGAAATGTATCACCCGCTAAATATGCAGTAGTTGAAAGTGGAGATGGTTTGGACATATACTTAGAAGAGGGTTTCTGGACATCATGTGTCACGCCAGGCCCTCAGGTCGATACCAGATAGGAAACGATGAGTTGGTTGTTGGAAAGTGACATGGAGGAGATGGCTTGAGGAAGAAGTGGAAATTTATGATCAGTCGTTTAGCCCTGTTATTGGGGAAGACGAATAGAATGGCGACGTATTTCTGAAGCCCTATGTTCCGCTAGGAAGCCAAAGAACAAATAATATTAATGATTTGTCCATTGATCAGAACAGAAAAATTAGGAATGAAAATTCTGATAAAACTGGTTAAACATCGTCGCGATTATATCTACAAGCGAACTGAAGTTTCTCGAATTGGACTCACTGGAAGTAGATCATACAGTAAATAAGAAAAACTTAGTTAATTAGCGAAAGAAAAATACCCATTCGATATGAACAAAAGATGATACAACTGAGTAGGAATGAGGGAATAAGCATCTGAAGTTGGTAAAAGATGATGTAATCAAATGAAAGTCTTGAAGGGTTAACAAACTAGATAGAAGTTGACTGTCTACTTCTCTATTGAAGCGGTTGTTGGTTTCAAAACGCTTTTCTATCCATATTTTTCTCTGTATGAATAATGTTGAGATCAGGTGACACGTACTACACATGCTGTTGAAGGGTCGATTAAGTTGGAAATAAGTTCAGAGTATGGCCTTGTCAGATGAGGTCGTGACACTGGTCAGTGAAATCCTTGAGACGATAGGAATCAGTGGTTAAGAGTTGATGGAGAAGATGTATACATCATCAAAACCAACATAGGACTAGGGATTACTGCGTAACTGTCCGAGTTGCCACACGTCATATCACTACATCAAGTAGAAAGGTAGTGAGGTGAAAGATGAATATGAGAAAGGAAAAATGAGGAAATGGTGAGATTCAATATAGCGTCGTTAAGATGAGGGTAATTTGTGTGGCGATAGATCTGCGCCACTGACATCGGTTCTCAGCCATATCCCTTAGAGTCTCCAGCCACTGGTTCCTCTTGTCCCATGGATCTCAGCCACCTAATCTGCATCTCCTCACATGACTCAAACCAGCAGTCAGAGACTTCATGGATTGGTGTCATGTTTTAGTCTGACCACCTCGGGCCTTCCTACCCGCCTGAACCTACTTCGGCCAACATTGTGTGACGAGGCAATCGGTGACTAGGCATTCGTAACACATGTCCCAACCAGCCATCTCAGTCGATGAAGGTTCATAACCTCGTCAACTGATTCACCTCTTCTCCCTCTCTAGAACTCTATATCTGACTTGTGTATTACTCACGTGGTGTGGTGACACCAGGGAATACGGTATATAGTACGACGAAGGCAATGGTGGTCAAACACTTGAAGCCTTCTAGTCTCTTTCATCTTCAATGGCCATGTTTCATAGCCATACAATAGAACAGACCGGCGTGTCATACAGTACACGCGACCCTTGAAAATGTATATACTCCTTGATATCTTCTTCATACTAACTATTATCTTCATATTGTTTTCTCTCTTACACACAACACTATTATACTCTGATATAACTCCTTTTCTATCCAATTGTTCTTTGTATACTACCTTAAAGTGTATGATAACTGGTAAGCAATGCGCATTATCATAATTTTTCCTTTGGGTTCCTAGTGGAACATAGGGCTTTAGTAGCACGCGTCTATTGCATTCTCTTCTCTGCAGTATGGCTTAATTTGCCTCCACGACTACTCACAATCTTTCATTTCTTCCTCACATTGTCTTCTCTATATCACTTTTAGCTAGGACGCATAACTCATCGTTTCCCCTTTAGATTCCACTCGAGGGGATGATCTTAGTTTTTACATCCTCATGATGCTGCTATCTACATCGGTGAAAGAGACAACTTACTTAAGATTTCTCTCATTAATGTTGATTAGTGCCTCTTGTTGTTGGTTGGTTGGTTGGTTGGTTATCTTCATCACCTTTGTCTTCTCCACATTCACTTGAACTCCTATTTTTCGTCTGTTAATCTTCGAGTTTGTGTGACATTAGATAGATATATAAATCATCATCGAAGTGAAATTTAAATCTTTTAGGCTATTTTCACCGATCAAACAGTGTATGCCCATCTTCTCGCTCCTCACTGTTTGCTGCCTGATTCAGTCCACTATATATATGTATATTACAATGAAATTTGTGATAGTAATAATAATAATAATTCATGATTCCATCTACTCTTCTTTCCCTTTCTTTTATATTGCCTACTTTACTGCTTATTCCTACAATTTTGTCTGGATAGAGAGTTGATGTCATTATTGAGACAATTGAAATTTGCTCAAAAATTTGCTTGGTTATCTGGGTAAGTAACTTTTTTAAAACATTTATCAATATATTACCAGTTGCTTTTAATTTAATTCAGTAGTATATAATTTATTTCTATTTATTTATCCCTTGAGTTCTTAATGGAACATAGGGCTTCAGTAGCATGTCTCCAATGCGCTGTGTTCTCTCCAATCTTTTTAACCTGTCTCTACGACAGCCCAGAAGCTCTCATTTTTTCCTCGCAGCATCTTCTCCACGTAACCCTCAACTGGGACGCCCAACTTGTCGTTTCCTATCTAGGTTTCACTCGACGGCCGGGGGCGTGATTATCTCCTAATCCATCTCCACTTCCTTCCAGTGCATATTTGTTGTTGGTTGGTTGTCAGCCAGGCAGAGTTCCTCTTTGCTCATTATTGTGGCCATCTGATCTGATGTTGAGTAAGGAGCCAGTGTAGGTGGCAGTTGTTGATGAATGTGTGTAGTTTGTTGGAAGTGCTTTTCGTAAGGCGTTAAGTCTCTGAAACATGAAATAGCAGCACTAACTTGACGTTAGTGTTGAGAATCTGGATGTTGTTGAGGCTTTATGCTGAATGGAGTGTAGAAGATGTCGACACTGGTTTCAGGTTAATGAACATACGCATGATGGTATCGAATAAGCCTCAAATACATGGAGTAACAATAATCATTCTATACCTTTCCCAGATATATGGAAAATCAAAAAAGAAGGCTAGAGAATTATGACTATATAAACTCGGTCTCAAAGTTGTGATGTTACTTACCTGTTGGTATGTATATAGACAATAGAATATATACTGGATGATAGTTAACCCTAGTCGACTACTTTCACGAATATATTTGACCTGACAATCATTACAAAGGATTTGGGTAAGTCAAACTATTCTACCTAGTTGCATCAGTAAGATCTGTCAACTTAGAAAACTTGTTTCCAAGCCAGTTTGTTGGTTTAAATACCAGCCACTTCAATCCCAGATAGACTTATCGATAGATTATCGTAATACTTCCAAGGTCCCCTCTTCGTATGGTAACAACACAACCCACAGAGGCTTTGAATTCTCTCTTCGCCCTACTACCATATATTACTCATAGTAGTAGAATCCTCATTAATAACATTTGTATCATTACTACTACTACTACTACTACTACTACTATTATTACTATTACTACTGTTCATATTCTCCCTACGATTTCCTATGAATTCAAGTCAGTAATTATTGAGACTCAAAGTATTCTTGATATGTTTAGTCTGTTGTCATGAATTTTCTGGCCTACTTGTTAGCTGTATTGCCCTATCATCACTAAGGCATTCAACTAAGTTTACTTTAACTGAGATGGAGTAAGATGTTGATTTGAAGTCTGCTAAGTGAGGATTCTATAGACGAGAATCCCATAGACGATAGTAGTGTCTAAACTTCCATCTTGTTATCGTTTAATCTTGTAATCCAACACTTACTGCCTCACCTTCATCACTTTCGATTCCAATACTGAAAATGTGCCATCTACATATGGTTTAGTAGACTAAAATAACCATCAATGATTAAGCCAATCGATGCAGATATATTTAGTTGTAAATAGAAGGGAAAAAATCGGGACAAAATCCACCTTGGTGATTGAAGTGAAATAAAATTCTGATCAGCAATCCGATCTCCTGTCTTAGTTGGTAGAACATTGAGTCAGTAACAGCGTGGTCGTTGGTTCGAATCCGAACGCGGTGCAGATTTTTATCTCACCCTCTATCATCACTCAGTACCAGTATTACTAGTCTGCTAAACTTCCTGGCTTCTATATCAGATAGTAAAATAATAATCATCTCATTCCAGTCCAATTACATTTAGATTACGATGAAAGGTTTCAACTGTGAGAAGCCAATGTGATTACGACCAAGCTGTTGTAATGCTTCATAAATTTACATGGTAGTCGGGGCAAAACCTTTAGTGATCGAATTGAAATAATATTCTGATCAACAGTTGAATCTTGTAGCTCAGTTAGTAGAACACTGGATCGATAACACATTAGTGGATGGTTCGAATCCGGCAACGGTACAGATTTTCATTTCACCTTCAATTATCGTCGAGGATAAATACTAGTCAGCTAAACCCCTCACAGCTACTATCTCATATACTCATATGAACATTCTAATTTAGTCTGTTTATTAGAAATGTCAGATCTAGTGTGAAAGAATAGTATCATTTATCCAATAAGTACATTAAAGACACAATTTTATTGTCCATATAATACAAACTAAGAGATAACTAACACTACAACTATACGACAGAGTTTATATAGTCCATATCTTTGAAGTAGGATTAAATGTTTATGAAGGGCTATCCATTCGCAACTATCCATAAATTTATCTGCGATGATGAGGAGATAATGATGATGCCATGAAAATCCCTTGACTTTCTTTACAGCTGTAGATATCAGGTATAATCATACGGCTAATATGATTTCCTCGAGTGGCACATTAGATTCAATAATTACCCATCTTAATTTATCAATAAATAAATGCATAAGTAAATCGGAGCGAGAATATGAACAGTAGTAGTAGTAATGATACAAATGTTATCAATGAGGATTCTACTACTATGAGTAATATATGGCAATACGGTGAAGAGAGAATTCAAAGCCTCTGTGGGTGATGTTGTTACCATACGAAGAGGGGACCTTGGAAGTATTACGACAAGTTATCAAAGAGTCTATCTGGGATTGAAGTGGTTGGTAATTAAACCAACAAACTGGCTTGTAACAAGTTTTATAAGTTGACAGATCTTACTGATGCAATTAGGTAGAATAGTTTGACTTACCCAAATCCCTTGTAATGATTTCAAGGTCAGAGACATCAATCATAGTAGTCGAGTAGGGCCAATTTGGACAACAGAGTAGAAAAGCTTAGCTAAATCAAGATTAATAGATCTTAATAAGGTGACAAGTTTAGAGAAAAGCTCGGTTGGTTATAGCTATGCACGCAGTTGCACACACTGTAGGGTGACAGTATTCTATACTAACTTAGTTGGATAGGTGGTAGAGGGAGCGATCACATCGATTACAAACAGTGACAGGAATTATTTTGCGCTGGTCCTAGATGAATGGAAACTTCTACTACTAAGAAGAATAGGTGTTAGTTAGTTATCTGCTAGTTTGTATTATATGCACAATAAAATTGTATCATTAATGTACTTATTGAGTAAATGATACTGTTCCTTCACTACGTGTAACATTTCTAATAAAACAGACTAAAATGGAGTTGCAGTCTGATCATGCTTAAATAGCATCCAAAGGGGTTAACATTTTCATACGTGATTTGATTCAATATCCCCCCTCTCCCTCAGCCCCACAGCTTCTCACGGTAGATTCTATCCATCCAAGCAACTAGCTAATAACCATCTGTTACAAGTCAAACATGAAATGATATAAGATTGAGTTATGATTAACCATGGAAAAGATTAAATCGATAAAGTTTAGTGAGAGAGTTTAGTGAATATAAGTTGTTAAACAAATCGATCGTAGTCATATAGGTATACATCTACGCTTCTTTTTGTCCATGTTTTACTCCTTATATCAATTAATGATCGTTTTGTATCGGAAATCGATAAAAAAAGAGATTACAACTAAATATATCGGCATCGATTAGTCTACTGTTTGATGGTTATTTTAGTCTACGAAGCGGATACAGAAAGAAGGAAGGATAAAAGGGAAGAGAGAGAGAGAGAGAGAGAGGAAGAAAGGAATGAGTGAGACGTGTATACTCTTGTTTAATTCTACTATGGTGAGACACAATCGATTGATGAGGGTTTAGGATACAAATAAATCGATAGGAGCGAGCGAACAAGCAAGCAAGCAAGCAAGCAAGCGAGAGAGTAACAAAGGACATTGAAAAATAAATTTTTTCTAAACAGTTTTTAATCGTAATAAAGATGCATGGTGGGCAGTAGAGTTAGTTCCATTTAGTCGACAATTATTTAGCTGGTTATACTTGCCTATCACTGAGTGATATTGTTCTCTTTCTCACTTGTAATGAAAGTGGATTGCTTGAAACTTCAGATCGTTTATCAACCATTTCTTGTACAATGTAGATTTACATCCAGCTGACGAATTGAACTCAACTATGATGAGAAAAATGGTTTGACAACTCAACTGCATAATGTTCTTTACTTTTACCATAGGATTTCATCTAGAAGGTCGTTTTCAGAGTTATACATTCCTTGTGGAATAACATCAGTCATTAAGAAGAGACGTAGAACCTTCTACAGGTTATCTTCGTCTGTTAACAACTAGGAGAATATCACAAACTGTGGTGGCCTACATGACTGCTTTAGATATGACTAGTGTGTACCAGGTGATGGGGAAGAGGAGAACTATTATTTTAAGTGTTGTCTTGTGATTAGCATATTAAAGTGTGTTACTAAACAGGATACTTTGTGCAGACTCACTATCCTCGAAATGTAACTATCCTGACGCTCATGATGATGTTAGATAGTGAGGTTCAGTCAATCCTCCTTGTTGCCACTCATTAGCGACGTGTTTCAGAAATCACCTTACATGGCTTTGACTGTTGTTCAACTATCAGTTTTCTACCAATGTTGAGCTTCAGGGGATAGGTGGTAGAGCATAACATACCTTGTCGCGTTCTAAAATTCGCCTTGCTTGCCAGGATCCATCATTCACGCATAAACCAAAAACACAGGGAATATTGCGGCATCCACTCTCAGGAGCCTATATACTACTACAAATCGATCAATTTGATGCAATCGAGGATGGGATAATCCAAGCAACGAGATTATAACTACACCAGCTAAAAAAGAAATGCCTATCATAACTCGCTAGTCTACTGGATAATGCCTTCAAAGCGATCGGTGGTTAGTGCGAGTGCTACTTAGAAGAAAATGGCTGACTGACAGCCAGCCAGCCGGTAGATACATCCAGCTGACGAGTCCGAAACATGACGAGACGCGCGTCAATCTGGATTCCCCTCCAACCTACTATCCATCATCAATATATAATATAGCATGTATTTGTACAGAATACATTTTGAACAATCTGATCACACAAACACACACACACACACACCTACTTACTTATCAAGTCATCCGACTATATTCAGTCGAAGAGTGGGAGAACAAACTGAACAATAAAGATAAGCAGACGATTAGAAAGTTTAGGGAAGATGAGAAGAAACAGAACAAAGAGTAACGTGTTTGATTCTAATGTAAAGAAAGTTTACCAAGGAGTAGATGTAGTAGTATACAAGAACAAATTGTTTTTGTACACACACAAAGGTGGTGTCAATTAGTGTATGGTTATGGCGTGTACAGATCTCAGTCTACGTACCTCACTCAGTCTGTTTCTTCTACACAAACCTTGAAAGCTGCTTGGACATTACTTTACTGACCATGTTTTTATAATCTGTTAAGTGATAGATAGATGAATATAGTCGTCTCCCACCTGCGTCTATCACAGCACAGTTCCACACTCCATTCACTCCTGAAACCATTCAAGTAGGTACAGGTACATGTTCTCCCATCCTCAACCACATGGCTTGATTACTCACTGTGAGTGACTGAGTGAGTGTGTGTGATCACACACACACACACACACGTAGAAATTCGACGCCACCAGGATGTGATGTGATCATGTATGATGTATGTGTTTTTCTAATGGCTGACGTCAGCCTACGTCTCAAAATTGCAGTGTGATATAGACGCTTGTCTTAGGAATCATGTTTACAGTTTGTTTCGATGTTACCTGACATCTACAATAGTTTGTGAAACTTGAACGGATATCGATTTCCTGTCAGTGTTTCAGTGTAAGTAATTTGATATCTGCACACTTAACGTGTCTGATGGATGCTGATCTGTAGTATATTGTCGTCAGCTGAAGATGAGGGAAACGACCCTCCAGTGTTTAGACTACTGTGGTTTGCCTGCTTGAAGAAGTCCACAAGAGATCGACATGACTTATGCTGCTTCTTTTCGAAAAATCACTCAGTAATAGTGTATACAGTGTAATGATTGAAGGTGGAAGAGAAATTTCGACCACATAGGGATTCGAACCAGTGACCATTGTGTTTCCTGTTCGATGCTTTATCAAATGAGCTACAAGGTCCTACTGTTAACGGTAATTCTTTTAAGTTTCAATTGAATCAGGAATATGTTACTTTGTCCGACTATCATGTGAATTCGTGATGAATTAGTATTGGTTAATTGTAGTGACAATGACTGCCTGAAAATGTTTTTCGTTCGAATCCATCTTGCATACTGTTTTATTTATCCATGTATGATCTGTACAACTAGTATTGATTATAAGCAGTAGGAGAGAATCTCCCAGTGTGTGTGTGTATGGGGGGGAGGGTGGGTTGGGGTATAAAGGTAACTCCGTAGCGGTCACAGACTTTATCCGTCATTGGGTTGTGAATGTGGACTTGATTGAGATGACTGTTCATGAGTGAATCGTCTTAGATTTTCAAGAATGCTTCAGTTGGTGTTTTCTTCTTCTGTAAAACGATAACTGATAGTATTTGGAAGTGGAATTGAGAATTTGTGTTTCGTCTGATTTAAGCCTCGTCAGTCGGGTTTATATACCTCGGTGAACGTGGTTGTTCTTACTGGGACTTGAATCTTCCACCTATCCACTCGGTAAAGAGTCATCATCAGTGTTGTTTAGTATTATTACCTTTTAGTTCCTTATTGTTGACTGAAACATTTATGTCAACCGCTAGTTGACATCTTGACTCCTACATGCATGTTCAGTATGATACTGATTAATCGGTTAGATCTAATCTACACTAGGATGTTTAATGGTATAATAATAATGTTGCTAGTTCCTATTTTTGTGCTTATTTTAGAGCATCAGTCCTACCAACAACATTAGCAACATTGGCTAATCTACAATCGACTAAAGTAAACGATAATCATGATCAACATCTAACCAATGGTAGTGATTATAATCGTTGTGATGATGATACAGTCAGCATCATTGATAAGAAACCGCAGCACCAGCAGCAGCAGGATCATTCTAATACACCAGTTGATAATGAATTAAAGAAAACCAACACTGATTCAATTGTTGGCCTACTAGATAACAATACTACAAATGATTATGATCATAATCATCACCATCATATAAATGATGATATTCAAATTAGGCAATCATCTGAAGAAGTTATCTCTATTGAAAAGGATACAATTCTATCCAATGGATTAGTGTCTAGTATGAATTCAAGTATAAATCAATTGAATGGTGATGATGTTGAAATTTCTGAAGAAATTAATCATCGAAAGGTGTTTACACCAACTGAGGTTAATTTGAATGGACAGGTGACATTTTTATTACTATCATTATTATCATTATTCATATTATCATTACTACTTCTCCTCTGGGTTTCTAGTGGAACATAGAGATTCAGTTGCACGCCTTCATTGCACTCTGTTCTCTGTAGTGTTGGCATTCAAGACTTCAGCTTTTTTTGGAGGGCCTATGTACACTGGTAGTTTTCCTGTTGCTAGTGGTATTTCCAGACGACTTGCAGATAGTGGTGGTCGATCCAAGAGTTTCTCCTTGTTATGGTTTCGAAGGCTTATAGATATATATTATATATATTCTGGAACGAATATAATACGCGCACTTAACTGACAGTTAACTTGGTACGCAAGAGACACTGACTGCAACCCCGGGACGAATAGAGAGAAGACTGAAGCTGGCAGATGGAAGAGTGTATTACTCGGAGATTATAATAATGAATCAATCCAAAATACTTGAATAAGTATCCGCATGAAAAATGACCTTGTTCTCAATTTGAGACATTTGCATAGTTTTGCCATTGCTGGTGGTATTTCTAGACGACTTGCAGGTGGCCGGTGGTGGTGGTAGTCGATTCAAGAGTTTTTTTGAAGTGATCAGTCCATCGTTTCCTTTGTTTCTCCTCTTTGGTAACTAGCTATCCTTCATTAGCTTTCAATGGTTTTGTCTGGGTTGATCTCTCTCCCCTCCCAGAAAGTAGCTTGGTTATTTGATATAGTGTTGTCAGGTCTTTCCTACCAGCACAGCAACCTGTTCTGCTTCAATTGCAAGTGTGTTGTAGAAGTGTCTTTTGTGTTTGCACACACTCTTCTTCACTTCTTTGTCCAGTGGAGTGGAGTGTAATGTTTTATAGGTCGTACACAGTTCGTCTTTTCTTTGTTCATCCCTGCACTGCACTGCAGTGTAGTACACTGGTTCATCTTCTGGTTCACCATCTTCCTCTCTTGTATCAGTTTCCTCTTCCTTGGTAGTGCGGTTATGCAGGTTTCTTCCCACATAGCTTTGAAAGAGTTGCAGTGTTCATCCACCTAGGTTTATTCATGGATGTTGCTGAATGTCTCCGATTTTGTTTTGATGGCTGACGATGTGGTGATGTTGTTTGTAGTTTCATCGTTCAGTGAGTTTCTGTTGTTGTTGGTGTTGGTATTGAACTTGAAGTGTGGTCTATCACCAACTTTTGTGAAGACTTTCAACTTGATTTTGGTGTGAACGTACATCTGCTCCTTTTGTTGATGTTGTGTCCAGTGGGCTGGCTGCATCTCCACTTTCTTGAGATAGAGATGAAGTGGATGTGATTTTTGGTGTAATGTGTTTGTTGTCTGGTGAAATGGAATCCATGTTGCTTGCTTTGTGAATATCCTTGTGTGTTTGTACACATTGGCTTGCGTGCAATCAGCAAATCGTTGAATGTGCAGAATTCTGCAAAGAGTTCTCCATTCTGATTTATGATTTCACCAAGTAGTGGTTCTTGACCCATTGTGAGTTGTATTGCTGTATTGTGTGCTCCGAGTTTGGCATTCATGTCGCCTATTAGAATTTCGATGTTGCCGTCGGCAACTGGAGTCTTGTCTTGAGTTGAAGGTTGCTGTCATGATCCTGGAGGAGACTGGTGTCCATTGTATGAGAGCCTTCGATGTTATTGAGGACATCATGATAACCACTCCAAAACGGAGCGTGCTCGTGGTTATCATCTGGGTGACAATATCGCATTCGGTTATTGACTCCTCTCTAGTGAACAGGTTCGAGAGTTCTCTTCCATTCCATCTGCTGATTCCTCGCAGATTCCTGGCACTTCCATGCCATACCTCCTCATCTCTTTTGTAATCTGGGCAGCCTTGCCAGGTTCATGCATGGTGCCCATATTTTATGTCCCCTTTCTTACTTTCGCTTTCATCGAGAGGAGCGGAGACACATCCCGATCGACTGGCTTCTCGAAGGCTTTCACTAACGGGCGTCATTTCGTCTCTCCGATTTCAACGATGAAGATTTTTGTTTTTATATTTTTTTTGTGCTTTGAAGTTTTTTTGGTGATTGGATGGTTTTACGGGGTAGCGTTACTAACTCTATGCCCAACTTTCCCTCTTTCTTGGGTCTTGGGACCCGCTAGTAAACTATTAAACTAGTTAACTAGGAGAGGTTATGTTCATTATTATTATTTGTCCCTTAGGTTCCTAATGGAACATAGGGCTTCAGTAGCATGTCTCCAATGCGGTATGTTCTCTGCGATCTTTTGAACCTGGCTCCACGACAGCCCACAAGCTCTCATTTCCTCCTTGCACGATCTCCTTCATGTGACTCTCAACTGGGACGCCCAACTCGTCGCTTCCCGTCTGGGTTCCACTCGAGTGACTGGCCTGACGCGTGATGTCCCCAGTCGGCCTTCTCAGTTATGCTCAATGCATCTCCACTTCCTTCCAGTGCATGTTTGTTGAGTGATAGGTTCTTGCTTCGTTGGTTCGTTGCCAGGCAGCGGGAGTTCCTCCTTGCTTATTCTTATTATTGTGGCCATCTGATCTGATCTTGAGTAATGAGCCAGTGTAGGTGGCAGTTGTTGATGAATGTGTGTAGTTTGTTGGAAATGCTTTCGGTAACACGACAAGTCTCTCAAGCATGACATAGAAGCATAGCACTGACTTGACTGAATTGGTGTTGAGAATCTGGATGTTGTTGAGGCTTTATGGTGAGTTGAGTGTAGAAGATGTCGACACTGGTTTTAGGTTAATGAAGGCGTGTGTTGGTGTGTTTGCGATGGTGGCTGATTTTGATGTCGTCGTCTATGCCTGTGCCGCCACGTGTAGTTGGAGGGATGCTGCTTAGGTGGGTAGGTGAAAGAGGTTACTTCGTTTAAGTTTCTTCCATTGATGGTGATTGTAGCTTGTTGTTGTTGTTGGTTGTGTGTTCATTGTAGTCTGTTATGATCTCAGACTCTACATCTGCTGAAGTGTCCCATGTTAAGACGAAATATCCGATTAATCGTATCAGTCGCCTATCAATGACTCCACTTACCCTTATTATAGAACCTACCTTTGCGCTTCGTTATCAGCTGATAAATGGGTATCATACGGTTTGTTCTTACTCATATACATGACACCTAATGGTGGTATATTAATGTGTATGGGTCAGCATATAGTCTTAAGGAAGTTGACAACATATACGCATTAGATTATCATTTGCTATATGTTGAATGTAGGATGAAATAGCTGTGCAGTTCTTTCAGGTTTCTTATGTTCCTCTAACTGATGTCACAGTTGATGATGACTACCTACATGGAGTATTGATTGATTATGGAACATATATTTGGTCTACCTAATCATTGAGTAAAAAAAAAACAACTTGTTGAACACTTGGGATTTAGATTATTACAACTTATGGTATCCTCTCGATTGTTAGACAGACAGCGAAGTGGAATGAAGGATCATATTCTTGTTAACTTTAAGAATATGCAAAGACTAAGCCATCTGCATACATGTAATCTTAGATGAACTTTGATACACTGAAGTGAATTAGAGAGTCTTCTGAGGAGCGTCTTCATTCAGCAATGATGTTTAAGTAAGCAGAGAAGAATATGACCCTAGTAAGTGATGTTATCGTCATTATGACACTAACCCAGTAGGATGGTACAGACATATTCAGCTGATGAATAGCTCCGTCAATCTTACTATCTTGTTTAAATTCTTGGTAATTTTTAACCGGTTGTGTATTGGACTTTCTTAATACTTAATACCTATGTTGACGGGAGATTCATAGGTATATCCGGTTAGTGTTCTTAAATCTATGATAACCCTTGAGCTCTAGATTGACATTGATTGTTAAGCATATCATCTACAGTGTCCAATTATCTATTCATAATGTTGTGTTGACCCATTGACTAGTTTCATTATGTAGTCAAACAATTCGTTCATTTCGTCCTGTTTAAGGATTCATCATGATAGCTTAATGAGTAGATCAACTGTATCTAATCGACATAGCTTACTAAATTCTACTGTCTGTCAATATCTAACTAATTGAATTCAACGCTATATCTTAATCAAAGCTAATCCATTCCGTTCAATGAAGAGTAAAGACTGATGAATATTGTCTTATAATACTACTGATTCAAGAAAGTAATCTGTTTTATTGATTACTTTTATATCAAAGTTGATTGCATCACTACGTAACCATGTACTTAAGAACAGGGGGTAACAGGAGTAATGATGGTTGATATTGGAAGTACTTTTCAAAGTTCCACTTTCATTTACATCTTATATATATATATATATATATATATATATATATATATATATATATATATATGCAGAGGGTTAGTCTGTCGTGAGTAGGCAGGACTTCTCGCTTATCTTCTGTCTATCCGTTTGTGTGTGTGTGTGTTGTATTCCTGTGAATTCTGTCAAAATCATCATATGCCTCTTTCTTTTCTTACTTTCAAAGGACGTCGCGCTTATCCTCTGTCTGACTCTGTGTGTGTGTGTGTGTGTGTTATGCCAACGAGTAATCAACTTTCATTGATAAGAAAAATTTTCGACTAGAATTCTCCGGTTTTCTTGTTGTTTACCTTTTTTTTTCTGCCTGATTTTAGGATAGAAATTTTTATGAGTTAAAATCAAATTTATGCACATAATAAAACGATATACTCTGGTCTCAGTAACTATTATTAGTTAGTGTTTATAGCTTGAGCTAGGATGATGAAAGTGGAGATGGATCGGGGATACACTGAGAAAACCATTTGCGGATATCACGCACGCGACAAGCCCTGGAGTAGAACCCAGATGGGAAACAACAAGTTGAGCGTTCAAGGATGACATGGAGGCGATACCATGAGGAAGAAATAAAAGCTTCTGGGCAGTTGTGAAACCAGGCTAAAACAGAAGGCAGCAGAGAAGAGAGTGAAATAGTGACATGCTACTGAAACCCTATATTCCACTAGGGAATCCAAAGGAGAAATAATAATATAATCATAACGGTGATACGGAAGGAAACAGAAATTGGTCAAAAGAAGTGGAAAGTCGTAAAAGAGAGAGAGAGACTGGTTCTCAGCATTACATGTGATCACCTAGAGTCTCCAACCACTGGCAGTTTCTCTAATCCTATAGGAGCCCAACCGACTAGTTTGCATCCCTCTGCATAGCTCGAACGAACAACTGAGGACTTTATATACTTATGGTATGTTTTAATCTGGCAGTCTAGAACGTTTTCCTAAAAGGAAACTTACTGCAATTAACATTATCCGACGATGAAGTGGTTGTAGGGTATCGCTCAGGTTTTGGTGGACTCACCGTCTAAAGAATGTTCAGGTTAAGTAAAGGGTAGGAGGCAAGATATGCAAGTCGATCGATGAGGTTGAGTTGGCTTGGACATATGTTACGCGTGCTATGGCTAGATTAGGTTGGAAAAGGATTCAAGATGCAGAGACGACGACATGGCATCAGTCGATGAAGTCTCTGACTGTCAGTTTGAGCCATATGTAGTGGGCATGTAGACAACCTGTCTAGACTCCATGAGACGTAGATGTGTTCACTAACCTTTATCTTCAAATTATTAGAGTACTGCCAACATATCGTATCTCTATTGATCATATCAAATTGATGATAGATGCATTTTGAAATAGATCCATAACTCTTGGAGAAATTGATGAACCAGCAAGTTAAAATGATAGAGTATTGCTTGTTAATTTACAGATATCTTCCTTAATCGATTCATTTCCAACCAATGACAATGTCGATAGCAGAGCATCTTCAAATTCTTTTATGGAAGCTTTCTGTCAACAACAGTCTATTTTCTTTTGTTGTTTTCGCATATCGGTAATATTGTTGTTGCTGTTAGGTTGTATTACCAGTCATAGGTATTCGCTAAGGATACTATTATCTCTTCTAAATACTGTTGTTAACTCTTCACTTTATGTTACTTAGATTGATTTGTCTACAGTAGAAGAAAATGAAGTCAGTAGTAACAAGAAATCTATTACCTCTGTAATCAAGCCTATTTCATCATTACCATCAAAGACAATGACATCATTTCCAAATGATATTATGATAAAGTGTGCTACTATAACAACGAATGATGTCCCAATATTGACGACATTTACTCCTTCTACTCCTATTGAATCAATTGAAAATTCATTTACCAGTACTATAATTACTTCACCTAATCATATAGTCAGTAACCAAACAACTATACCGGTATCATCTACACTAGAGTATTCTCATTCATTGGTTAAAGATGATGATAATGAATATAATTTAGTAGAGTGTAGTAATCTATTCAATCAGAATAAGACATTGATTACTGGATCTTTACAATCACTTTCACAGAAGAATAAAGATAAAGTCAACTATAATACAAACAGATATTGTTTGATAAATTGTGCTAGTCTATCACCTTGTTCAGATACAACAACAATAACATCCTCATTGAATAAGAAATTATCGCCTATGGTAACGTCTTCATTGAAACAAAGTTATCAAGAAGTGTTTGTTGTACAAGAAGACTATCAAAAGTATGTGACTATTTCTCCAACTACTACTACTACTACTACTACTGATATGAGTAGTACTAATCTACCATTAGTATTATCAACTAGACAACCAACTCGAATTACTGCATCCATTTCATCTTTACCTATAGTTCAATCTTTTCCAATCTCATCATCATCAATGAAAATACCTTCCAGCTTAGAATTAACTCCTGATCAATGCGTTAAAAATGATAGTTTCGTTAAAGATTCATTAATTGTTTCATCAGTGAAACTTCGTAGGCGTACAACAACATCTACTAGTGGTATCATACCTATTGAGAATAAACAATCTACTTCTAGTATTAATAAAATAATGAAAAGAAAAATAAATACAACTTCTACTGCTATTGATGTTATAGATGAAGTAAGAAAATCACGTTCATCAATGATTGAATTACTTAGTTATCAGAATAAGACAGCATTACGTCAGGTTATATCAAGTCCAGGTTTACCATTTTTATCAGTTACATCTCCATTATCACAACTTCAACCGCCACCACCATCTCAAGAGAATAATGTAAGTTATTTTCTGCCTCCTTTATATGTATATATACATGCGTTTATTGTGTTCGTTTGTTGGAGAACTTTGTGTGTGTGTGTGTGTGTGTGTGTGTGTGTGTGTGTGTGTGTGTGTGTGTGTGTGTGTGTTATGATAAGATCTTTGTGTGACTGTGGATTTCATTTCACCTTCAATCATTATTGAATATTTTTGTGATTGTTTTTTGTTGAAAAGTCAGAATCGGTAAAGCAAGACAGGCGTTCATTAGCCTGAAACCAGTGTGAAGATCTTCTGCACTCAGTATGCGGAACAAGATACGGATTTTCAACACAAATCCAGTCAAGTCAGTGCTCCTGTATGGTTGAGAGACTTGGTGCGTTACGAAAGGGATTTCCAATAAATTACAGACATTCATCAACAACTGCCACCTACGCTGCCTCGCTACTGAAGATCAGTGGAGATGGCCAGAAAGAATAAGCAACAAGGAGCTCTGGGAACGAACCAACCAAGAACCTATCATTCAACAAATATGCAGGAAGAAGTGGAGATGGATTGGCCATGCACTGAGAAGGCCGACTGAGGACATCACGCGTCAGGCCAGTTGCTCGAGTGGAAACTCCATGGGAAGTGACGAGTTGGACGTCCGAGGCAAGGGTGACATGGAGCAGATGGTGTGTGAGGAGGAAATGAGAGCATCTGGGCTGTCGTGGAGCCAGGTTGAAAAGACTGCAGAGAATAGAGTGCACTGGAGACGTGCTACTGAAGCCCTATGTTCCAGTAGGAACCCAAGGGACTAATAATAATAAAATAAAGTGGCAGTAATACTTGTTAGTAGGGAAGTCGAATGTGTAATACCCCCGCTTATCCTGATGTTAGTCAAATTCATGTTCATAGTCGGTTCGTAGGGGATTGATATAAGCGAAGAGATGTCATGACACTTCATTGCTAATTGATGTTCATGTTGATGGATACAAAATGGCCAGGCGAATATTCTGTCTATTCTAGTGTATTTCCGCAGTTTTTTCAGCCTACACTCATACTAAAAAAAGTTTCAGTAATGTAGTTGTAATTTCGGAGGCGTTTTATTGAAGTAATGTGGATAGGCATCAATTCATCCTTTACTTCTATCGTGCTTTCAATAACCAGAAGTTGGTTGTATCAATGTCATTAAGAACCTTTATGCCCACAACCTTTCATTTCCTCTTCACACGATCTCCACCATGTCATTTTCAGCTAGGACGCCCAACTTGTCGTTTCCCATCGGGGCTCCACTCGACGACCTAGCCTGGTACGTGATTTCCCCAATTGACCTTCTCAGTGTATGCCCAATCCATCTCCACTTCCTTCTGCGATAGGTTCTTGCTTTGTGGGTTCGTTACCAGCCAGCCAGAGTTCCTTGTTGCTTATTCTTTCTGGCTATCTGATCTTGCGTATGGAATCATCGTAGGCGGCAGTTGTTGATGAATATCTGTAGTTTGTTGGAAATGCCTTTCGTAATGTGCCAAGCCTCTGAGACAAATAGAAGCACTGACTTGACTGGGTTGGTGTTGAAAATCGAGTGCAGAAGATCTCCACACTGGTTTCAGGTTAATGAACTCCTGTCTTGCTGTCTTCCCGATCCTGGCTGGCTTTGACATCCTCGTCTGTGCCGCCTTTAGTTGAAACGGTGCTGCCTAGGTGGGTAGGTGAAAGAGGTTACTTCGTTTAAGTTCCTCCCATTGATGGTGACTGGAGCTTGTTGTTGCTGTTGGTGGTGTTGGTTGGGTATCATCATCACCTCTGTCTTCTCTACGTTCACCTCAAGCAAGTCACTTCTTCGCTGCCCTGCCTAGTCTGTCAACTTGTTGAGTTTTGCTTGTAGATCTTCAAGTTTGTGTGACATTAGACACAAGTCATCAGCGAAATTCAAATCTTCTAGGATCTTTTTCGCGGTCCAGCGTATCCACCACCTCTCGTTCCTCACAGTTTTCTGCATGATCCAGTCCACTACAATCAGGAATATCATCGGTGCACGTCTCCAGTGCACTCTATTCTCTGAAATTTTTTGAACCTGGCTCCACGACAGCCTACAAGCTCTCATTTCCTCCTCGCATGATCTCGTCCATGTCACCCTTGCCTCGGACGCCCAACTCGTCACCTCCCATCGGGGTTCCACTCGATCAACTTGCCTGACGCGTGATGTCCCCAGTCGGCCTTCTTAGTGTATACCCAATCCAATCAATCTCCACTTCCTTCTAGTGCATATTTGTTGAGCGATGGGTTCTTGCTTTGTTGGTTCGTCACCAGCCACAGTTCCTTGTTGCTTATTCTTTCTGGCCATCTGATCTGATCTGATCTTCAGTAAGTAGCCAGAGTAGGTGGCAGTTGTTGATGAATGTCTGTAGTTTGTAGGAAATCCCTTTCGTAACGCGCCAAGTCTCTGAATCATACAGGAGCATTGACTTGACTCAATTGGTGTTGAAAATCCTGATCTTGTTCCACATGCTGAGTGCAGAAGATCTCCATACTGGTTTCAGGTTAATGTAGGAACGCCTGTCTTGCTGCTTTTCTGATCCTGGCTGGTTTTGATGTCCTCGTTTGTGCCGCCACCTGTAGTTGGAACAGTGCTGTCTAGATAGGTGAAGGAGGTTACTTCCTTTAAGTTTCTCCCGTTGATGGTGATGGTGATTGGAGTTTGTTGTTGTTGTTGTTGTTGGTGTTGTTGGTTGGGTATCTTCATCACCTCTGTCTTCTCTATATTCACTTGAAGTCCCATCTTCAATGCCTCTTCTGACAACTTGCTAGTTTTCGCCTGTAGATCTTCAAGTTTGTGCGACACTGGACACAAGTTGTTGACGAAATCCAAGTCTTCTAGGATCTTTTCCGTGGTCCAGTGTATATCTGTCTTCTTGCTCCTCAATGTTTGTTGCATGATCCATTCCACTACAATCAGGAACATCATGGGTGATAATAGACAGCCTTTTTTCATCCCTGTCTTCACTTCACTTAAAAGGCATCACTGAGCTTCCCATTGTGGATCACTTGGGATGTATCGTCTTCATATAGTTGTTGAATGAGGTTGATGAAGATTTGTGGCACTAAAAGCGTAGTGTTGAAGCAACTGCCTGCCAAATTACTCCTCAGTCGATGCTGTCGAATGCCTTTTCAAAGTCGATGAAGTCGAGGTACATGTACAGTTGACTGCCGTTCTATACTCTGTTCTATCATGATGCGAAGCGTTGCAATTTGATCCGCACATGATTTGTACATCCTGAATCCAGCCTGTTCCGGTCGTAATTTTGAGTCTAGTGCATCCTTTAGTCTCTCCAAGATGATACGGTATATTTATTTTGCATGCTTTGGATAGACGGCAACATGATTCCGTGCCAGTCCAGTGTAAATGAATACTGTTTCATCACAGTTTACTCTTTTGTTTACCTGTTTGTTTTTTTTCATTTTCATAGATGGGTGCCTGTTTCTCTTTGGTTTTTGAAGGTTGCCCCCTGAAAATTAACTCTACTGCGACATGGATTAATCCAGCTAATAATGGTAATTTTAATGAATTCAATGTTGAGCGTTTTATTTTGGTAGGGGGGGGGGAGGAGCGAGTTATTGATTTATTGATTTCTTGTTGATAATCATGTTGCCTGGTTTCAATTCTATCCAGTGCTATCATATTTTCCAATATCTCTTCAACTAATGTGTATAATTTTTACTATTTTGTACTCTTGTACATAGTTTTTTTTTTCAACCGAGAACCATGTTTTTAAACATTTAGGTCATTAGTTCGAACCCCATCGCTTCATAATTGCTTTGACTAGTTTTCTATTGACTATGAGATGGTTTGAAGATGCTGAGATAATGGATCAGGTTTTATTCTTTGAGTAGTACTTCATTTTATTGAGGAAGTCAATAGTATAGCCTTCGTTAGATGCTCACCTCCATTGACATCCAAACATCCCACCATCTTCTCGTTCCTATCGGTTCACATCATAGCGCAACTGTCAATACTACAGTTTCAGTGTCACAAAACTTTATCCACCTCATTCAACAAATATACGACGATGCTATATGTCAAGTGATTCACAGTGAAAAGATGGGTGATGCATTTAAAGTGGAAGGGAGTAAGTGAAAGAGTAAGATAAGGTTGCGGCCTAGTATGACCGATGATCTTCCTGGTTTTGGTTGTCGAGACTAGAGTGGATCATGCAAGAAACTGTAAGGAGCGAGAAGCAAGGGATACGCTGCTTGATCGATGAAACGAGCGTAGAAGATTTGGATTTCACCGGTGTTAATTTATGTCTATTATCTTATGTTGAAAAAACTCTAAGATGTACATGCGAAAACTAACAAGTTGACAGAAGAGGCGGGGCGAAGCGATGCAGCGAAGGAAGACGGGACTTCCTTGAGGTGAAGGTGGAGGAGGCAGAGGTGATGAAGATACCCAACCAAGAGCAACAACAACAACCACTAATGACCATGAACGAGAGAGATGTGAAGGAAGTCGTTTGTTTCACCTACCTTTCTAGGGTGTATCGTTTCCTCTACAGGTGGTGGGAGTGGGGGTGGTGGTGGTGGTGGCGGCACAAATGAGGATATGAAATCGAGGATCGGAAAAGCAAGGCAAAGCAGGCCTTGATTAACCTGAAATCAGTGTTGAGATCTACTGTACTGCACTGCACTGCACTGTACTGCCCTGCACTCAGCGTGTGGAAGAAGATTCGAATTTGGAAGACTAATGTCAGTGAAGTCAGTGCTTCAATGCGATGGTTGAGAGAGTTGGCTTGTTACGAATAGGATTTGGAATAAAGTACAGAAATATGTGAAGAGCTGCTGGGTACACTCACTCGATACTGAAGATGAGATGAGATGATATGAGATGAGATGAGATGGTGGGAAGGAATAAGGAAGATGTAACTGACTATGTGTGGCAAGGAACCGACGAAGAATGTATCGTGCAAGATATCTATAGAAGCAGAACGTGTAGATATAGTGGATTTGGCATGGAGTGAGAAGACGATTTTTGGTACGTGCCGTGCCGTGCCGTGCTGTGCTGTGCTGTGCCATGGCATGTCAGGTTGTGGAGTAGAGTGGAGTGGAGTGGAGTGGAATTGAAGGGAAATGGGAAACGATAAGTTGTGTGTTGGAGGGTGACATGGAGGTGATAGTTTGTTGAAGAAATGAAAGTATGTTGGCAGTCGTGAAAGTAAGAGTTAAGAGAAAAGACAGCAGAGAAGACAATGAAATAGTTAGGTGCTACTGAAACTGTATGTTCCACTAGGAACGCAAGGACAAACAATAATAATGATACATTTTGATAGATAGTTATTTGCCATCAGTGTTTCAGTCGATGTTCTTGTCTCATCTTGCAAAGTATCATATGTGGATATACGTCAAATTCTACTCAATAAGCACCTAAGTAACAATGGTTATGATATTTCGAATAATTTTCCTTTGGAATATATGTTCCCATGCGTTTACCCTTAAGACTAGCTATACAGTTAGAGTCAGGTTAATTGTTAACGGAGACCAATAAACGTATATACTTTCCTACACCCCTACAGTATATGAACAACAATGTCAAATCGGATTGAGGTCTACCAATTCAAATGTACTTGTGTTGACATATACGTAGAGAGGGCTCCATGAATCTATACAAGTAAGCACCTCTTCAGAAGAAAATCGAATCACTTAAGAACTTATGAACGTTGTTGGTGGATTATTTCAAGTTGTTATTCATCGTAGACTGACATCAGTTGGAGGAACAAAGGAAACCTGGGAGCACTGGACAGCTGTTTCCTCCAACTGGTATGGGACTCCTCAGCAGTGCGCACCCACAACCCCACCAACAGGGATCGAACCCGCGACCTTCAGGTTCCGCGGTCAGCGCGTTACCATTGAGCTAGCCACTGGGTTAGAATCCAATGCTCCATATTTCCAACTTCTGTTAGCTGACGATGGTTGGTGGTTGGTGGATGTTTAAGTCCTTCAATTGCAAAATGTATCTCTGAGACCGGTCACACGGTTCAACTATTTACAAAAGGTTTTGGGAAGGGATCATTAAATTTGTCAAAACCTCCGTCATCAATCATCATCAATATCAACATAGGATCAGACATAACTGCGTAACGGTTCGAGTTGCCACACCTCATATCAGTACATCAAGTAGAAAGGCAGTGAAGTACAAGATGAAGATAAGAAAATTCAGTGGAAAGAAATATAAAGTACGATAAGAAAGAAGGGAATAATGACAAGATGGTGAGAATCGGCATAATGTTAAGATGAGGATAATGTGTGTGTGTGAGGATAGATCTGCACCACTGACATCGGTTGTGAGTCATGTGATCACTTATAGTCTGCAACCCCTGGTTCCTCTTGTCCCACAGACCCTAACCATCTATTCTGCTTCACCCCACATGACTGAAACGAGCGGTCAGAGACTTCATGTATTGGTGTAATGTTATAGTGAGGCGAGCTGTGGCGTTTTTCCATCCTGAACGTACTTCGGTGAGCATTGTGTGAGGAGGCAATCGGTGACTAGGCATATGTGGCATGTGTCCCAACCAGGCATTTGAATTGATGCTGGTTCATAACCTCGTCAACTGATTTACCTCTTCTCCCTCTGTAGAACTGTATAGCTGACTTGTGTATTACTGGTGTGTTGTGTTGTGTTGTGTTGTGGTGTGGTGTAGTGACACCAGGGAATACGGTGTATAGTACGAGGAAGGTAGTTGTGGTCAAACACCTGAAGCCACCTTCTCATGTTTTCCACGTTGAATGGGGATGTTTTACAGGTATAGAGTAGAAGAGAGTGTACTACTGTGCAGTACATGTGATACTTAATAGACAGTTGTATATGACGTTGGCGCCGTGGGTGGCGTAAATTGGCAAAATGCAGGGAATTGAGCGTTTTGTGTACGTGGAGAGATTTTATGTGCAAGTGATGAGTGCACCGTGGCTGATCGTTTTTCCCAGGTGAGTGGAGTGGTGGACACAGTCAACGACTACACTGACTTTGTATTGTTATGTGAGGATGCAGCGGTGAAGTGCAAATCTGGAGCAGAAATTTGCATTTGTGTGATGAGAATCGCATGCCAAACATTGTGAAATTGCCACTGAAAGTGTTGAGAAGACTCTGGATCTGATTATTCAACGTCTTCACTTAACAGGACTATTTCATCTACATAGTCTATGCCTAACGAAAATCTTCCTGCGGTTGGATGAACGTCTGTGTAAGCTGGTGACGAGAGAGAGACCTCCATAAGAATATGTATGATGAAATTGAAGAAGAATGGAGGAAGTGGGCATCATTAACGGACACCACTTGATGAGTATAGCTCCCTGGACAACTCATCATAGGCTCTAACATGTCCCCAAGTGTTCGAATAGAGAGCCTTCAATAAGGTGATGTACTTACTCGACACGGCTTTCTGCGAGAGATATTACCATAAGACTTGTCGATCAACGGAGTCGAATGTCACCTTCAGGTCGAGAAATACAGCAAGCGTCGGGCGCCGGTAAACATATCTATGTTCCAAAACCTGGCTCAGTATGAATACTTGGTCGATATATCCACGGCCGGGTTTAAAGCCTGTTTAGTTTTCTCAGGCGTCAGAGAATTATAGAACCTAAGATCTTGGAAACTATGTTCGTCAGGTTGATTCTTCTGTGGTTATCACTAGAGGACTTCTCGCCTTTCATGAAGACTGGATCTCAATGACGCAGGTTTTCTTGATTGATATCCTGGATCGATACGGGCGATAGTTTGATCTGCGCCACACACACGCACACACACTCACATATCGAAACAACAACAAGATCGTTCATTCAATGTTCAATGTCTGATCAACTGACGTGTATAATTTAGATTACATCCAAAAATGTATTAAGCCTATTATAACCTTTTTAAGATTTATTGGACTAGATTTACTGGACTGAATATCTTGTTCAGTTGATTATCATTTGATTGACGATGTTCTTGTTTAAAAGAGAGAGTGAAAAAATGCATTGAAGTCTATGCTACTGTGTATATTTTTCTCCCTCTATCTTGTTTATTCATTATCTTGTAGGTCAAGTTATCCTATTTGGAACAAATGATGGTATTTATTGTTTAAATTTGAAGGGATTATCTGAAAATTCTTTGGAATTGGTAAGATCAAAGTTGTTGTTTTTTAGACGGCGAAATTTGTATTTACTGTGTGTGTGTGTGTGTGTGTGTGTGTGTGTGTGTGTGTGTGTGTGTGTGTGTGTGTGTGTGTTAAACTTGAGCACATTGTGATAGTGTATATGGTTCCATGTTCGACTTGTTTATTTGAAATTAGTCAACGGACATAGACTATTCCATGTTATTATCTACTGGATGACGTTTTATGTATAAGTTATTCCATGAACATAATCATATTAATGTTCCATTGAGACAACATTCAAGACATTAGCCATCTCATACTTTTTTGGTTCTGATTCGCTGTAGGATTTTCTGCATCTCTGGTCTAAGCTTATCTCTGAGTGAATTTGTATGTATCGAAATGCCACCTTTTACGCGTGCTTAGGACCGGCTAGTGAACTAGTTAACCAGGCGAGGTGAAACAGCTGTTTCGTCGTAGTATGGGACTCGTGAGCAGTGCGCATCCACGACCCTGCCAGGGATGGAACTCGCGACCTTCAGGTTCCATGGCCAGCACGTTACCATTGAGCCATTGGGTCAAGTTAACAGAAGAAGCAACGAAGACGGGACTTCAAGTGAACATAGAGAAGACGGAGGTGATGAAGATAGCTAACCAACAAGAGGCATCAATCACCATAAACGGGAGGAATCTAAGGGAAGTAGTCTCTTTCACCCACCCAGGAAGCATCGTTTCAAGTACAGACGGCGGCACAGACGAGGATGTCAAAACTAAGATCGGAAAGACAGGAAGACAGGCTTCCACTAATCTGAAATCAGTTTGGAGATCTACTGCACTCAGCATGTAGAACAAGATCGGGATTTTCAACACCAATGTCAAGGCAGTGCTTCTATATGGTTCAGAGGCTGGGCGCGTTACGAAAGGGATTCCCAACAAACTACACACATTCATCAACAACTGCCGACACTCGTTGCTAAAGATCAGTTGGCCGGAAAGAATAAGCAATAAGGAACTCTGGGAACAAAGCAAGAACCCATCGCTCAACAAATATGCACTGGAAGGAAGTGGAGATGGATTGGGCATACACTGAGAAGGTCGACTAGGGATATCACGCGCCAGGCCAAGCCGTCGAGTGGAATCCAAGGGTGAAATGACAAGTTGAGCGTTCGAGGCGAGGGTGACTTGGAGGAGATGATGTGAGGAAGAAATGGAAGCTTGTCACAGTGGTGGAAGCAGATGAAGCGAGACTGCAGAGAACACAGTGTAATGGAGGCGTGCTACTGAAGCCATACGTTCCACTAGGAACCCAAGGGAAAAATAATGATTAAAAAAAAATGCCACCTTAATATATTTTATCCGGAAACATTAATACTGTTGAAGTCAGGCATAAAGTTTCGCCTAATATAACCTCATCAACCGATACCTTAGTTGTATATGTGCATTCTGAGTCAATATTTAGTTGATTTTTTGGCTGTTTCGGGTACCATCTTTTTCATCTTCGATGTTAACTATATCGATAGTTGCGCTACATAAAACAATAACTAAGTGGAGTGGATAAGTAAGAAGAGAAAACAAGAATAGATTGACTAGAAGGGCAATCTAACAGGATACATTGAAAACGAAACATTCATTACTTTCTAGCAACAGAAGATAGATAGGAAGCTGCATGATGACCGCTACCGAGTTACATGATCTCTCATACCCTACCGAGGTAGTCATGATACACCAACAGATGCTAACCTAAAATGCAATTATCCTCTGTTCCTCGATGCCATTGACCATCTTTACACTTCATCTATCCATTTCTAGGGTTATGAAACAATGAACGTTGTGGAAGCTGTTGTTTTCGAGTTATCTACATCATACTAAAACATACACATACTTAGTAATGATGGGCAGTGGCTAGCAGTGGACTCGCTCCCGAGTCCGAGTCCCGGTGGGAACAACATCACTCACTGGGAAGCAGGTACATCCAGCTGACCATTGAGTCCCAAACAGGACGAAATGCGCATCCTGGATTCCACTGCTAGCCACTGCCCATCATTACTCTAAACATAGTTAAAAGACAGGCCATATCGAGGTATCCGCATAGGAGCCCATATGCCAACAGAGGCTGATCAATTCGGTCCTATCAACGCCGGTGTAATACAAGCAATAACACTAACACATGCATACTGTCTACCTCAGAATATGAGGAATCTTACGAAGATAACGATGATCAAACATACATAATTGTTATATATCTTCAGTTTGGGGAGTCGAGGAGGAGGTCTACTCGTGCTGAAGTGTTGTAAATTCGATGAACGTCATGATAGTGGCAAGTACTCAGTTAAGTGAATTTTTCGACTATTTTCAACGATTCACTACTAAGCATGAGCTCAGTTAGACACTCTTTCCAGTGTTGCAAAAGTACATTGCACTTCAGTAGTGTAAAGGATATACTATACTTATGGACAATAAATAATTGCCAGTTGATTAAGAGTAATTTGAGTAGCGAGTTTGTTATCGTCCGTATATTCACGGTGGAATGGCCGTTGTACCAGTAATAGTAGATATTCTTCAGAGGTGTCTCAAGAATATCATCGATGGGAAAGTTATACAGATGGTTACATGCTTTCACTCTACTTCGAGTGTTAATAAAAGATCTCAGACATGCCAGTCTTTGAATACATAAATCAGATATGAGTTGCTTTAATTGGAACTACTTTAGAAAATCTCAAAACAGTGGCTTTCCATTGTTGTTTGGTCAATTTGAATGAGTTTAATACATCGACTTAATGTCGAGCATCACCGATGATCTTCCTGATTGTAGTGGACTGCATCATGCAACAAACGGTGAGGAGGGAGAAGACAGGGATACACTGGACCAATGAAAAGACCGTAAAAGATTTGGATTTCACCGATGTTAATTTATGTCTAATATCTTATGTTGCAAAAACTCTAAGATGTACAGGCGAAAACTAACAAGTTGACAGGCGAGGCGGGGCGAAGCGATGCAGCGAAGGAAGACGGGACTTCCTTCAGATGAAGGTGGAGAAGGCAGATGTGATGAAGATACCCAACTAAGAGCAACAAGAAAAGCACTAATGACCATGAACGAGAGAGATGTGAAGGAAGTCGTCTTTTTCACCTACCTTTCTAGGGTGTATCGTTTCCTCTACAGGTGGTGGGAGTGGGGGTGGTGGTGGGGGTGGCGGCACAAATGAGGATATGAAATCGAGGATCGGAAAAGCAAGGCAAAGCAGGCCTTGATTAACCTGAAATCAGTGTTGGGATCTGCTGCACTGCACTGCACTCAGCGTGTGGAAGAAGATTCGAATTTGGAAGACTAATGTCAGTGAAGTCAGTGCTTCAATGCGATGGTTGAGAGAGTTGGCTTGTTACGAATAGGATTTGGAATAAAGTACAGAAATATGTGAAGAGCTGCTGGGTACATTCACTCGATACTGAAGATGAGATGAGATGAGATGAGATGAGATGGTGGGAAAGAATAAGGAGGGTGTAACTGAGTATGTGTGGCAAGGAACCGACGAAGAATGTATCGTGCAAGATGTCTATAGAAGCAGAACGTGTAGATGGAGTGGATTTGGCATGGAGTGAGAAGACGATTTTTGGTATGTGCCGTGCCATGCTGTGCTGTGCCATGGCATGTCAGGTTTTGGAGTGGAGTGGAATTGAAGGGAAATGGGAAACGATAAGTTGTGTGTTGGAGGGTGACATGGAGGTGATAGTTTGTTGAAGAAATGAAAGTATGTTGGCAGTCGTGAAAGTAAGAGTTAAGAGAAAAGACAGCAGAGAAGACAATGAAATAGTTAGGTGCTACTGAAACTGTATGTTCCACTAGGAACGCAAGGGACAAATAATGACAATAATAAGAACCAAGGGAATGCTGGATGATTGCATCATTTCAATGTAGTAGACCCTTCTGACTCGAATTCTAGTACTTTGATTTGGTAATAGACACAGTAATTGCATGTCGCTTGTTTACTCCTAGGAACCATTAAAATTTGTATGTTAATGAAGATTTTCATTTCATCTTAAACCTTTCTAATTTATACCTTTTGTATCTTTAGCTTTTTCCACGTCGATGTCTTTGGTTATCTGTAACTCGAGACACTATGATATCATTATCTGGACGTCATCCTCAATTGTATGCTCATAATCTTGTCTCTTTAATGAAATTAAAATCACATAATCATTCAGTTGGTGGTAGTTCTATTGGAAGTTCTAGTATTGTTGGTGGGAGCGGTGGTGTTGCTAACGTTCTTAGTGGTGGAGGTGGTTCATCAAAATTTCGTAAATTTGTTAAACTTTTCCCTAAGTAAGCTCTTTTCAAGTTTTTAATTTATACTTAGTTTGTTTGATGACGAATATTATCGTGGATATTAGTTTATCTTTACTGAATTTATGGTCCACTATCATTCCTTATAGTTAATTATTTTGTGATTTGTCCCTTCGGTTCCTAGTGGTAACATAGGGATTCACTAGCACGTCTCCATTCCACCCGGTTCTCTGCGATTTATTGAACCTGGCTCCATGACTGCCCAAATGCTCTCATTTCTTCCTCATACACCATCTTCTCCATGTCACCGTCGTCTTGAACACTCAACTCATCACTTCCCATCTAGGTTCCACTCTAGAGCCAGTCAATAACCATTCTGATTGATTTTAGCCAACCTGTTACCTCTTCTTTGTCTCAAAATATGACCACTTCTTAAATGATTACTATACATTCATTCCGTTGGTTATTGTTGTTTTCAGTAAGTGTCAACCGCATTTTTGTCTTTTGACATTAAGTGATTGGTCTATTGGTTTCGATATTTGTCGATAATAGGTGACCGCCGAGTTTCTTGCACGATACTCTACCAACTGACCTATGACGTCCGAACCTCTCAGCTAAATTCAATTACCTATCGAAGGATGAGCATACTACACTACAGTTTTTTATGTCTTATTGTACGGTTGTGAGATATTGTGATGAAAAGTAGAAGACATGAAGCGGTTATAGAGTTTTAATGATGAGTGTATGCATAGCATCGCTCACCTTCATTGGGATCATTGTGTGAGCAGTATTGAGGTCAAGCGAAAGGTATTAGGTAAGATGGAGAAGTCGAATAATAATAATAAGGTTATGACAAAGGTTCAGGATGGCGAGACGATGACGTGGTACTACTACTCAATGAATTATTTGACTGTTGATTAAGGTTCTCAAGACGAAATGGCTAAATATTGGTCACAATGATGTATATGTCTTTATTCTTCAATGTTTTTTGAAGCTTGATTATCTCAATCACTCAGTTAGTGTCAATCTCCTTTAGAGTGAACACAAGCGGATACTAGGCATCAACCATTCATTGACCTCAAGTAATCACTCAACTCAGTCTGTCTATCCGTCCTGTTCAACTGATCTGTATAAGAAATGAGACAAATTTTACTATAATGACCAAAGAAAATTCATTTTTAGTTGATATAGTTTTAAAGATCTTACAGTGTCTAGTTATTCAACATTCCCCAACTTGAGAAACTGAAGCAAATTTCAGATGTGAACGATGATACAAATGTTCGCTAAGTTTAATCGTTGCCACAGGTTCCTTAAATACAGACATACTCATCAGCTCCCCCCCCCCGTCTCTCTGTCTCGATAATTGGTGTATTCCTTCACATGAAAGCAATTCTTCTGTCGATCGAGTGGAATATTGAAAAAAAACTTTTAGCATGACTTAAGGCTGTCCGCCTCATTCAACAACTATATGAAGATGCCACATGCCAAGTAATTCACAATGGGAAGCTCAGTGATGCTTTTGAAGTGAAGACAGGAGTGAAACAAGGTTGCCTACTATCCCCCATGATATTCCTGATTGTGGTGGACTGGATCATGCAGCAAACAGTGGGGAGCGAGAAGAGGGAGATACGCTGGCTAGACTGCGGGAAAGAACCTAGAAGACTTGGATTTCGCCGATGACTTATGCCTAATGTCACATAAACTTGAAGATCTGCAGGCAAAAAGTAACAAGTTGATAGAAGAGGCGAGGCAGCGAAGGAAGACGGGACTTCAAGTGAATATAGAGAAGACAGAGGTGATGAAGATACCGCATCAACAACTCCAACAACAACAACAAACTCCAATCACCATGAACGGGAGAAACTTAAAGGAAGTAACCTCCTTCACTTATCTAGGAAGCACTGTTTCAACTACAGGCGGGACGGACGAGGACGTCAAAGTCAGAATCGGAAAAGCAAGACAGGCGTTCATCAGCCTGAAAACAGTGTGGAGATCTTCTGCACTCAGCATGCGGAACAAGATACGGATTTTCAACACCAACGTCAAGTCAGTGCTCCTGTATGGTTAAGAGACTTGTCGCGTCACGAAAGGCATTTCCAATAAACTACAGACATTCATCAACAACTGCCACCTACACTGGTTCGATACTGAAGATCAGATGGATTGCCAGAAAGAATAAGCAACAAGGAACTCTGGGAACGAACCAACCAAGAACCTATCATGCAACAAATATGCAGGAGGAAGTGGAGATGGATTGGCCATGCACGTAGAAGGCCGACTGGGGAAATCACGCGTCAGGCCAGTTGCTCGAGTGGAATCCCCATGGGAAGCGACGAGTTGGACGTCCGAGGGTGACATGGAGGAGGTCGTGCGAGGAGGAAATGAGAGCTTGTGGGCTGTCGTGAGACCAGGTTCAAAAGATCTCAGAGAACAGGATGAAATGGAGACGTGCTACTGAAGCCCTATGTTCCACTAGGAACCCAAAGGACTAATAATAATCATAATAATAATAATAATAATAATAATAAAGGCTGTTTACTTGAATTCATCCAGTCTGTCAACGATATCCCTTGTCACCATTCCATTTTATAAATGTTCTTATGATACATGACGCTACATATTTCGGATTCTTTTTTGTGGAGGTTGGGGATGGTGATTGACATGATTTCAGTGGTTGTACACAGTTAAATAAACAAATGATATAAACTTAGGAACACCGGACAGCTATTGCATAGTAGAATGCGGCTATCGGTGGTGGGTTTAAGTGCTATTACGAAAAAGATCATTGATTGGAAACCGGCAGGTACATTCAGTTGATGTGTTCCATATAGTACGAAACGTGAATCAAGCTGGAGTTCACTGCTAGCTACTATCTATCAATAATACATAGGGCCTTCTTTGCTAGCAATCTTAGAATTGTATTTTATCAGAAACTTATTCGACGATAAATATGCCCATCGAGCCATATCATCATCAGACATTACTGCGTAACGGTTCGAGTTGCCACACGTCATATCAGTACAGCAAGTGGAAAGGCAGTGAAGTACAAGATGAAGATAAGAAAATTCAGTGTAAAGAAATATAAAGTACGATAAGAAAGAAGGGAATAATGACAAGATGGTGAGAATCGGCATAATGTTAAGATGAGGATAATGTGTGTGTGAGGATAGATCTGCACCACTGACATCGGTTGTGAGTCATGTGATCACTTAGAGTCTGCAACCAGTGGTTCCTCTTGTCCTGCTGACCCCAACCACCTATTCTTCTTCACCCCACATGACTGAAACCAGTAGTCGGAGACTTCATGTATTGGTGTAATGTTATGGTGAGGCGAGCTGTGGCGTTTTTCCATCTTGAACGTACTTCGGTGAGCATTGTGTGAGGAGGCAGTCGGCGACTAGGCATATGTGGCATGTGTCCCAACCAGGCATTTGAATTGATGTTGGTTCATAACCTTGTCAACTGGTTTACCTCTTCTCCCTCTGTAGAACTGTATAGCTGACTTGTGTATTACTGGTGTGGTGTGGTGTGGTGTGGTGTGGTGACACCAGGGAATACGGTGTATAGTACGAGGAAGGCAGTGGTGGTCAAACACCTGAAGCCACCTTCTCATGTTTTCGACCTTGAATGGGGATGTTTTACAGGTATAGAGTAGAAGAGAGTGTACTGCTGTGTAGTACATGTGACAGTTAATAGACATTTGTATATGACATTGGCGCCGTGGTTGGCGTAAATTGGCAAAATGCAGCGAATGGAGCGTTTTGTATCCGTGGAGAGATTTTATGTGCAAGTGATGAGTGCACCGTGGCTGATCGTACTTCCCAGGTGAGTGGAGTGGTGGACACAGTCAACGACTACACTGACTTTGTATTGTTATGTGAGGATGCAGCGGTGAAGTGCAAATCTGGAGCAGAAATTTGCATTTGTGTGATGAGAATCGCATGCCAAACATTGTGAAATTGCCACTGAAAGTGTTGAGAAGACTGTGCATCTGATCATTGAGCGTCTTCACTTAACAGGACTATATCATCTGTGTATTCTAGGTCATCTAGAAAAGAAGGGATGACATCGACTTCTTAAGCAGTGGACAGTCTTATTTATATATGTATCAGAAACATATATAGCAACAGTGTGTTATTGAGCACTAGGGGTATAGTTGTATCATTCAACCAGCTGACGCTATGACAAAGGATCTGAGATGAAGAATGGTTAGCAATTGGTTAATTGTGGAATTAATGAGAAAGGTTAAGAGTTAGGTGTACTTCTTTTCAACTGTTCCCTTCGACTCTGTCAATGTCAATGAAGGAGGACTCTGGTGGTTTACTGTATGTTCACAGTTGACCAGTGTTTAATGTTACATTCTCCATATTCATACAGGGATAGTGATCGGTGATACTTTATGGAAAGTGCTGCACAGAAGTTAGTCAATTTGTAGATATACATTGAAGTTGTTGAAGGTGGCAACTTCTCTTTCGTCAGTACGTACACAAAGCAAAATCTGGAGCATTGAACCATATCAATGTGTATATAATAAGATTACTTGCTGCGGTTAAACCGAGTACATCGGGCATGCCATCTGCCAACTTGTACAAGTCACTCGTGAGTGAGATTTCCAGGGAGCTGTACATATCGAGCACTGTCTGTCAAGACTGCCTTCTCTCTCTATTCTTATTCAATTTTATCATAGATATTCTTATGGAGGTCTCTCGTCACTTGATTACATAGAGATTGAGCTAATCGCAAGAGAATTTTCGTTAGACCTGGAATATATGCAGATGACATAGTCCTGTTAAGTGAAGACGCTGAGAAGATACAGAGTCTGTTGGATACTTTTAGAATATTTGGGATGCGTTTCTCACCACCGAAATGCAAATTGTTACTCTAAGATTGGTCCTCAACGGTGCCACGGCCAGGAATAGAGAGTGTAGTAGTTGAGTGTGTTGGCCTCTTCGCTTACCTGTGAAGTAAGATCAGCCCTGCCTTGCTGGCTCCATTGACGGTGAAATCTCTGCACGAATACAAAAGCCTCGACTGGCTGG